CGTCCCCCCTCATCCCTGGTGTCACCCCTCGTCCCTGGCGTCACCCCTCATCCCTGGTGTCACCCCTCATCCCTGGTGTCACCCTTCATCCCTGGCGTCACCCTTCGTCCCTGGCATCACCACTCATCCCTGGCGTCACCCCTCATCCCTGGCGTCACCCGTCGTCCCTGGTGTCACCCCTCATCCCTGGTGTCACTCCTCATCCCTGGCGTCACCCCTCGTCCCTGGTGTCACTCCTCATCCCTGGCGTCACCCTTCATCCCTGGCGTCACCCCTCGTCCCCAGCATCACCCCCTTGTCCCCACCACCCCCTTTCCGCGTGTGACCCAGTGACCCGCGTTCCACCCAGTGACGCGCTTTTTGGGGGGGAGAACCAGGCACTCCGTGCCGTGGTGGTGACACCTCCCCGCTGTCCCCAGGGCCAGGTGACACGGGCGCAGGAGGCGGAGGAGAACTACATCATCAAGCGGGAGCTGGCGGTGGTGAAGCAACGCTGCACCTCGGCCACCGAGAACCTGCAGCGCGCCCAGACCACCATCCGGCAGCTGCAGGACCAGCAGGTTGGTGTCCCCAAATGTCCCCAGATGTCCCCAGGCGTGCCCCATCGCCCCCACGCATCCCCCTTTCAATTTGCGCCCTGCTGCAGCCCGGATTCGGGTGCGGGTGGTGGGGGCCGCTGCCATGGGTGAGGGAGGGGACAGGCGTTGTGCCCCGTGGGTGACGTGTTGGGGACGGTGGCAGGGGAACCCGCGCTTCAGCGAGGAGTTTGTCACCCACCTGGAGACGGAGCTGGAGCAGTCGCGGCTGCGGGAGAGCGAGACCCTTGGCGCCCTCAAGGAGATGCAGGATAAAGTCCTCGACATGGAGAAGGTGACGGGGACAGCTTGCGGGTGTCACACAAGTGGCCTTGGGGATGGGGATGGTCCCACAAGTGGCCCTGGGGATGGGGAGTGTCAGACAAGTGGCCTTGGAGACAGGGATGGTCACACAAGTGGCCTTGGGGACAGGGATGGTCACAGGGGTGGCCCTGGAGATGGTCCCACAAGTGGCCCTGGGGATGGGGAGTGTCACAAAACTGGCCTTGGGGACAGGGACGATCACACGAGTGGCCCTGGAGATGGTCCCACAAGTGGCCCTGGGGATGGGGAGTGTCACAAAACTGGCCTTGGGGACAGGGACGATCACATGAGTGGCCCTGGAGATGGTCCCATGAGTGGCCCTGGGGATGGGGAGTGTCACACGAGTGGCCTTGGGGACAGGGATGGTCACATGAGTGGCCTTGGGGACAGGGACGGTCACAGGGGTGGCCCTGGAGATGGTCCCACAAGTGGCCCTGGGGATGGGGAGTGTCACACAAGTGGCCTTGGGGACAGGGACGGTCACACAAGGGTCTCTGGGGGGTCCTGGACCTGGTGTCCCCTGTCCCTGGGGATCCCCAGTGCTACACAAGTGTCCCCAGGGGATCTCCCTGCACCCGGGGATCCCCAGTGCCACGTGTCCCTGGGGCATCCCCTGTCCCTTGTGTCCCCTGTCCTCTCCCCCCCAGTACCCTGTGAGTGTCCCCACCTCCACCAGGCAGAGGGGGGCAAGCCCCCAGTGCCACCACCACTGCTCCCTGCCGATGACCAGTGCCACCGCCCCGAGGTGTCCCCAACGACATCCACCGCCCCCGGATGTCCCTGCCGACATCCAGCGCTACTGCCCCGGGATGTCCCTGCCCCGGGGTGTCCCCGCCGACGTTCCCCGTGTCCCCGCAGAGGAACAGCCTGCTGCCGGACGAGGACAACGTGGTGCGGCTGCAGGAGGAGCTGCAGGCGCTGGCGCTGCGCGAGGCCGAGGCCGTCAAGTCGCTGACGGAGCTGCAGCAGCAAGTCAAGGACCTAAGTGACAACTGGCAGGTAAGGACCCGGACACCTGGGTCCCCCCCGGATGCCTGGGTGTCCCCCCTAGACATCTGGGTCCCCCCGAGGCCACCTGAGTCCCCTCTCGGCTACCTGGGCCTCTTCCCAGCCACCTGGGTCCCTTGTCCCGATGCCTGGGTCCCCCCCGGCCACCTGGGTCCCTTGTTCCAATATCTGGGTCCCTTCCTGGCCACCTGGGTCCCTTCTTCCAACATCTGGGTCCCTTCCTGGCCACCTGGGTCCCTTCTTCCAACATCTGGGTCCCCAATTGTCCACCTGGGTCCTTTGTCGTGATGGCTGTGTCCTCTCCTGGCCACCTCGTCCCCTCCCAGCCACCTGCATCCCTTCTTCCAACATCTGGGTCCCCAATTGTCCACCTGTGTCCTTTGTCGTAACGGCTGTGTCCTCTCCTGGCCACCTCGTCCCCTCCCAGCCACCTGCGTCCCTTGTTCCAACCAACATCTGGGTCCCTTGTTCCAACATCTGGGTCCCAGTTGTCCACCTGGGTCCTTTGTCCTGATGGCTGTGTCCTCTCCTGGCCACCTCGTCCTCTCCTGGCCACCTTGTCCCCTCCCAGCCACCTGGGTCCCTTCTTCCAACATCTGGGTCCCCAGTTGTCTGCCTGGGTCCTTTGTCCTGATGGCTGTGTCCTCTTCTGGCCACCTCGTCCCCTCCTGGCCACCTGCATCCCTTGTTCCAACATCTGGGTCCCCTCTTGTCCACCTGGGTCCCTTCTTCCAACATCTGGGTCCCTTGTTCCAATATCTGGGTCCCCAATTGTCCATCTGGGTCCCTTGTTCCAACATCTGGGTCCCCTCTTGTCCACCTGGGTCCCTTGTTCCAACATCTGGGTCCCCTCTTGTCCACCTGGGTCCCTTGTTCCAACAGCTGGGTCCCCAGTTGTCCATCTGGGTCCTTTGTCCTGACGGCTGTGTCCTCTCCTGGCCACTTCGTCCTCTCCTGGCCACCTGGGTCCCTTCTTCCAACATCTGGGTCCCCTCCCATCTGCCTGGATCCCTTGTCTTGATGACTGGGTGCCCTCCTGACTACCAGGGTCCCCTCCCTGCCACCTGGGTCCCTCATCCCAACACCTCTGTCCCCTCCCATCCGCCTGGGTCCCCACGAGGGCCACCTGGGTCCCCCTGCCCGCCCGGTGGGTGCCTGACGGGTGCGGGGCGCAGGCGGGCCGGGCAGGCGG